TATACTTATGCAGGTATCTCTGCGATCATTTTTGAAGTCCTTGCTCTTTAGCTGTTGTGGTTGGTCTTCCAATAACTTTACCTTGAACTTAATTGTAAAAATGAGAAGAGGTTCATTCAGATTAAACTTTTCCAGCCATGTAATGATTAAAGAGCCTGGCAAGACTTCAAAACAAGTTGTACCTCTTTAGGATTTGTTTAATAACTTGAAGATTTCTTATTATGATGAAGGCCAGTGTTATCTGGGGCTGAAGGAGGTCCGCTCCAGGGAACACTTGCAGTTGTTTTGTTGTCTTCTTGTGATAAATAATTTGTCTCATTGTAAAGTGGTTGTAGCAGCTCCACAGCACTTGAATTACTCAGCCAGTTACGACGGGTCAATTAAGAGTTTTATTTTATTTGATGAAGATCCTCATCACAGTCAACACAGTTACTTCAGGCACCATGAAAACTAGAACATATACAAATATTAAAATACAAAACATAAATTTACTACACAAACAACAAAACAAAACATACCTAGCTGTTTTCACTGGGGAACACAAAGTGTTGATTTCTTGATGACAAACAGCTTGACAGATCAAGTCATTCATTAGTACAATGATTCTACCAACTTTTATATGGCATGCCCTCATTTTCTACGGCAGCCTGTGAGGTATGAAAAAAAAACAAAAAACCCTTAAAAGTACAAATACCAAATAAACAAACCACAAACAATGTTAATCAAAACAGACAAATATCCATAAGCAATCTGCAGCATTTAGAAAATTCCCTTCTTAAAATTTACATTAGTCTACAGAAAAATAAATTAGACAATTCATTTTCAATAGCTCAGTATCCATTACAGTGGTGAATTTCAAATGGGCTGAAAACAGGATAATTACTCCTCCCAGATTAATGGACACCAGCAGTTTCAACCCAGCTGAATACGTTGAAGGAACTCACTAATAAATAAAGTGATTCTATAGAGGCGGTCAGGCTCACTGATGATCCATTAAATATAGTATATTTGATTAAATATTTTCCATCCTAAATCCTGTGTTCACAGCACCTTTGGGCTTAGTGGCTTCCCCCTTTCTTAATAATCAGGGATAACATAAAATTTGTTTTTGTGCTTTTGCATAAACTCAGTTTGATTTGAAGAAAAAGAACAGATTGGTTGAATTATTCCTTCTTTTTTGACCATGACTGAATACAACAGATGGATGGGTTGTGAGAGAAATGATAAATTATTTGGAATATGAAAGAAACCAAAGGGCGTTTGATGGAGTCTTGTATGAGTTCAATTAGAATCACAATCCCACACATTGGCAAGCTGGCATGAAAAAAAACAACAACAACAACAAAAAAAAACACAATCCTTTTATTCGTGCATCTAAAGTAGGCTTTCCTTTTGCAGCTGCATTATATTCCTCTGCCAAGAGTAGATTAAGCCAATGTTCTTTGAACTGTAAATACTCAAATCCTTTGTTCTTGCTTATTGGAGCTCTGAGCAAAGCCAGAGAGAATTTTGTCACTGAGACAGTTGTTTTTTTTTTCTTCTATTGCAGTGGAGTGGAGCACCTCGGCCGGCTTCAAACGCATCCTGGGTACAGCACAGGTTACAGAGACAAGGAATCCCTCCTATATCATCAATGGCGTGACAGCAGTGAGTTCTGCAGCCCACACATATACATAGAAATGCTGCAGACAAGAATACACATTGCTTTAATCATACATTGCAAATGCTGCAAGTCTAGAGCCACACATGGGTTGAATTTATTGCCTATTGAACCACGTTCCACAGGGGACCCCTTATCCCACAGCTCCACACTGTTCAGTGGAATGAATTAATAATAGGAAAGCTTTCTCTTTTCTTTGTCCTGTGAAGGCTGATTCACGAGATTAATTCACAGTGATAATTTGGCACTCTGGTGCTTCTTCCATACAGGGAGTGCATTACTACGTGAGAGCAAGCGCCTATAATGTGAAGGGATGGGGCCCGCCTCAGTGCTCCACTCCGGTCAGCGCTGCCCCCTCTAGTAAGTATGCTGAACTGCACAGCAAGACAAGAAGTTCATCATCATTCCTATCCTCGGAGCCATGTTTTAAATTTTAGATTTAGCTGACTTCAAGCGTCACGCGAAACAAGTGAAGGTTGGCAGATTGTGTGAATAATTAAAACGTAGAGAATCTGGGATGTCATTGTGAATCATTGGGCCTTATAGCCACGCTTGCTTCAGTTTAAACTGGGCTCATAATCTTCCCACTTTCTTGCTGCCTTTCTTAGCTTTTTCCTTTCAATTTTTTTTCTTCTCCAGTCATGCTGCATAATGCTCATCAGAACAGCTTTTTTAATGAAGTAGAAAAGTATTTAACAATGCCGAGCTATTCATTAGATAACTTTCATTCACATTCAACTTACAGTTTAGCTCAGAATGAAGCAGCGCTGAAACTTTCAGACCATGCAGGTTTGTCATGCAAACACACACGCCTCCTTATCTTTCAGAGAAAGCAGCACTCAGAACTTGGCAGCAAATTAATTCTTGCCTTTTGAATGATTTTTTTTCCACCTAACTGCATGAAAGAGATGATTTGTTTCTCTCTTGTGCAGGCTGGAGAGAGTGCGTTGGTGTAAAGTCCCTGCTCAGGAACCATGAAAGCCTTGTGAGGAAACTGCTGGAAGATGCCAAAGAATCCCACTACAAAGGATATTATATTGGTAAAAACTGACGCTTAGTGATTTAAGTTATTATAGCTGCTTTTACACATGCTTCTGTCTACATTGCCATGCAAACCTTTGAACTCTATCATCATTTAGTGTAATATATGAGGTAGGTGATACAGTAAACGTGAAAAAAAAGGATTTTTTTGCCTCAATGCAAAGTGCTGTGTGGTAGAAAACTAAGAGTTCACATTAACCCAAACATTATTCTCTCAGTGACACATGTTGGTGGCAGCAATATGCTGTGGGGAGGATTTTCTACAGTAAGGGGCAGAGTTGATTTAAACATGAACGTTGTTAGATAGAGGGCAGACAGATTTAGGTGTTTGTTTCTCCTTCTGGGCGACCATTATAATGGTGCTTTCCATTTGTCTTTTAGGAAATTAGAAATTTCAACTTCCAAGTCATTTATTTCAACTTAAACTCTCACAAAAGTCTTAATTACTAATTAGAAAGTCGGTGCAACAAAATGGTACTCAACTTCTGCATTCAAGATAGATGCTACTCCTTATTTTGGCATAATTAAGGCAGTTATGCAGGTTTGTGACTTGTACCTGTTTAGAGGATGATATGTTTCCACATATATGCGCAGAATACAATGTAAAAAAGTGTTTTGCCAATGTTGTGGTTGTACTAATGGCCATGGTTGCCATGGAGAAAATGAGTCTACAAGTTGAAAATTGGGAGGCTTTTTACCTCGGAGAATACGTCTCTTTAACAACTTAAATTCCAATTCAAAGGATAATGGAACACTGCATAAACATACAGCCAAAGCTTTAGATCAAAACATAACCATGGTTTTAATGATTCAGTCATAGAGATTGCCTAACTCCAACTGAGAATATTTGGCAGGATCTAAAAACCAATGCTCACTTTTCAACTCTCTATACAATCTGACCAAGCCGTAAGAGTAACTTAATCCCACATCAATTTCCTAAAAACTGGATAAATTAAGCCTTAAGGCTGCTATCTCGATGTCTCTGTCTGGGCAATGTTTTTTTTCACGTTTTCTTGTAAACTTTTGAAATTCTGCAATATTTGGCCTAAGTGCTGCCCTCTATATTTTGAAACTGTTTAATACCCATCCACAAGGTAAGAGTTAAAAAAAAAATGAAATAAAAATACTCCAAAAAAGAATATAACCTGGATGTTTTCCATCTGGGAACCACTCATCTTCCAATGAAGATTCTTCCTGTGAACCTTTTTAAACCTGTTCTGTTCAGAAGCTGCTGATAAAGCTATTCATGCTTAGAGTTCAGTAATTTGTTCTGTGTTGATGGTCTTCAACAATATTCATCCTCTTTTTAAGAAATGTTCTCTTGGTCCTGATACTATTTAAAATTACAGGCTATATTCAGACTGCCTTTTATCTCAAACGTTCTTGATAAGGTGGTTTAATATCAACTAATGATATTTTTGCTGTTATTATTGTGCTTCTTGATGACATGTTTGTAACATTTTAATTTCCTATTTGGAGTATTGTGGGGGTGAAAGGGTTGCATGTATTATTTGGCAATGCGAACTGTCCTAGTTAAACTGGGTGACTTTGTACAATATCCTCTGTTGGTGATGTTAACTGTGGAGTCCCACATGGGTCAGCATTGGGCCCCTTCGCCTTGTACTGTACCTGCTTCTACTTGGTTCTGTTTTTAGAAAATATATGGGATTCTTTCACTCCCAGGTTTTATCTCCCCCTTAAAAAACAACAAGGGCTTCTCATTAGATCTATATTTAAACAAACAAAAGACAGAGGAGATGGTATTTGGTTGCACCTCTGACATCTCCAACATAGATTTTGGCTTTCATGGACAATATATTAGACCAGTTATCACAAATCTGGGATTTAAGATGGATGATGAGCCTAAACTTGAAAACCAGATTAGAGTGTTTTTCATTTGAGGCAACTAGTTAAGTAAAGCCATTTATATCTAGGTAGCTCTTTGAAACAGTGAGTCATGCATTTGTAACATCTAGGCTGGATTACTGTAACTCTATCTTGGGGTGATACAGGTGATCAGGTGCCTGCAGGTTGTGCAAAATGCTGCAGCCCTAGTTTCAACTAAAACAAAAAGGTCTGACCACATTACTCTTATTTGAAATGCTCTTCATTGGTTGCCTGTACCTTTAGGATCTGTTTTAAAGTTGGATTTTTTAATCTTTCAATACCTATCCTTTTTTTCTATCTAAGCTTATCGATGTATGACTTTTTGACTTATTTTAATTTCGCTGTTATGTTCAGTTCTATGTACAACACTTTGATGACACTTGTTATTATAAAGTGTTTATAAAAAAATAAGGTTATTTTGGTTTGGTGTGACATCTCCTGTATTTGTTAAATTCACTAACTGGCTTGATGTAACGTACCTATAGTTTGCTTCAATTAGTATTAAATTTTGAGAGTCAAAATAGCATAACAGTTATGACCTAATGCCAGAATGAAATGAAACTATCTGCATGGTTTAGGTCTGTAAAATGTCCTGCACCAGATGTGAGCAAAGAGATGTTTGACCATAACGTTCAGCGGCACCTATAGAGCCTATCAGAACAAACACCTGGGAATAATGACTCATTGTAAGCATTAATCAACTATGAATTAGGCCTTCTGTTCAACATCTTAAAGCTTTCTCAAATCATAAAAGCAACACTCTAAAGACTGCTGGGCCAATACATCTTCCACAACAATGTCAGCAACTGATGAAGCTGGAACCTGAATACTTAAAGGTATTGCTGTTTACGCCGGTTCTACAAGCATTTAAGCGAGAGGGTGTACATCTGTACATGTTGTTTTCTCATTAAGAAATGTCTTAAAGGGGACAAATGTGTTTTGCAGAATGGTAATGAGTACAGTGTGTGTGAGAGTGACTCCGCAGTGCAGTAATCGCAGCCTGGTTAAACATCCATTTCCTGTGAAGCAGATGGATTTTTGCTAGATTGTAAGATTTTCCTCCATTCTTGTCATATTCAACAGATAGCTCGAAGTCTCTGAGCCCCAGCAAGCGCCTGTCAATGTCTCGAGGCATCAAACAACTTTTCCAGTCAGCCACCAAGTTTGTTCGCCTTCTTCAAAGGTAGGTCCAATCTTTCATACACATCCCACCGTACGCTGAGAGCAAAGAGACGGAGCAGTTACATGGGAGGTCATTAGAGCTGTGCAGATTACACAGGGTAGACTCAAGTAGCTGTCATTATAGCAATGACTGAAAAGTGCATATGTCAAATTAAACGTGCATAGTTTAAAAGTTAGTAAAAAAAAAAAATAATAGAAAAGCTGAATATGCAAGGCTCCTGGGAATGCCAGGCTTCTTAAGGCCTCAGAAAACTACACAAATCAACAATGCTGGGTATTGCTAATTGGTTAAGGTCTCACTGGGTTAGTTTAATTTATTTTACTGTTTTACTGTCTTCCATACCTCCAGGGGTGTGTACTTGGCAACTATTTTCTACCACAAAGACAAAGTCCTGGTAACCGCTGAGGATCAGATCCCACTGGTGGAGATCCAGTGCTGCTCTACCTCCATACCTCAAGACTTCCTTTGGTTTGCAAAGGTGAACACATCATGAGCTCAGTGTTGTAAAGGAATTTTCTAGCAGATTTTTTCTAATCCACTCAAAGCCAAAATTATACCTAACAGGCTGGGATATAAACTTCCATCCCAATCATACCACCCAACTATTTAGAACATAAGAAGCCTCTTGGATGAGAGGCAAAACGTCTTCTGGAAAACTTCACATCCAGTTCGCTAAACTAAACCTTTTCAAGCTTGACCAGGACCTGGATGACTGAGAGTCTTCAGATATACATCCCCACTAACACATGTTTCATTTTCTCCTTGTACATGACAGTTTAAACCACTCTTCCTAATAAGAAGTAAAATTTCAATAATTTTTAACTAACATTACAATTGCAATTTTATTTCGATTGGCAAAGGAAAACGGCTAGGTGGTTTACTGACATGGGTGTTTATCAGAAAACCAACCAAGTATAGAAGCTGAGAGCGGTCGTGTACCTCAGATACTTATTCTCGGTGGTTTTCTCGAGAAAACAAGTTAATTTTCTCATTATCTAAAGATAACGAAAGCCGTTTTCTCGAGATAACGAGGTGATCGTGTGTATTAAAATTGATTGCATTATTCAACACCACAACAGCAGGAGAGGATTTATAAGTCATGGCAGCCTATGTGTAATTCTGTAAATAATCATGTGTTTAACTTTTAGATAACGTGACAACATTGATGGTTTGATGATTTGCTTCCACTTTGGATTCATTAGCAATTAGACCTATGCCTCCACTAGCTTAGCGCCGGGTGTTTTCTGAACAGCCCCGGTGTTACGCCTGTAACAGGTATAAGATGCAGTCCAGATTAAAGACTTTCATTGAAAAACAGCCATATTTGTTCCTACTGCATTTCATGCAATCCAATCATTCACATGACCTGACCATAAGTGAAAGGAAATAGGAAACTAAAAAAAATATTATTTGCGCACACATGGTACAGCGACTGCATAACCACTGGCACAGCAGGCATGGATGGACTGGGTATCCAGGGCTGTTGGCCAGCCTAATTCATTACCCATACAGGTTAATAATTTCTTTAACTCGAGAAATAAATAAATGTTTTCTCGTGATAACGAGATTATTATCTTGTTATCTCCAGAAAACAATTATTTGTTAAGCCGTGATAACGAGATAGTTATGTCGTTATCTCGAGAAGACAAAGGACAAAAAAAAAAGTTGGGTATGACCGCTCTCAGCTTCCGTAGATAAGAACATAGTCAGATATCCAGGAAGAATTATGCCATAAATGCAGCTATGATTTTAAACCTGTGTAATATTATTGTTGGACAAATCTATTAAAACTGATCTCTATACCTTATATCCCTTCTGACAGAAAAAAGGTGAAAAAACTCCTAAAAAGTAATAAAAGCTTCAATGACTTCATGGCTGTTTATAAACCTCTAATTGAAGCTGTACCACTTATTTTATAATGAACTCCATCTAAATCCTCCATCCGTCTCTGTGTTGTAGCTGTCCTGCGCATGGCAGCAGGTGCCCTGGCTTCAGCAGGGCCTCTCCTCTGCACACTCCTCTCCCTCCTCCCTCCTTCAGAACCGGCACAACATCTTAAGAGCTGTGTCTCAGCTGCAGGTAGGAAGTTAAGCCTCTTACTCCCCAGATAAGAACCGTCGTGTTGGTTTAATTGTGATTTTTAATTACCTCCCTAGATCTCCTCATTCCCCTTTCTCCCGTTCTTCTTTCTGCCAAGTTTATTCAATCTACACACATGGAGGCTGTATTTTAATGAAATAATCCTCAATTATTTTTAGTCTCATGGTTCATATTTTACCTTTTCTGTTATGTTTGCTGTCAGTCTTGTCTAGGAACGATGGACCTGGGCCAGGTGTATTATGAACCACTGAAAGACAGGCAGGGCAATGTTCTGATAGTGACGCTGAGGGAGTTCCCAAATCCCCCATCAGGGTGAGTCTGTTCTCTCAGCCTTTATGCACTGTCATACATTTGTTAAATGCAGGATGTTTTATTTTATGAACCTAAAATTATATATTTTTTTACTGTATTTGTCTGTCTCAGTCCCCCAGACCCTCCTTTCCACTGGATTCCCCTGGACCGACTGGAGAAGAACCGCAGCAGAACGCCTCTGCTGCCTGAGCCCACTGCCATGGATACGCTCTATGAGCAGCTGAAGGTGAGTTTGTGTTTGGCTAAAAGAGGGACAAACAGTGTTTTATTACAAACAAGGGTATCCTGGCTATCATGTATGTCCGTCTGCTTTCCAGGACAAACTTTCCTTCCACAGGCACAGCATTCAGTGGACCCAGCCTGGTCTGTATGTGGGCATCCTAAAACTGTGCAGCTCTGTGGACCAGATCAGGGTCCTGGTGCCTCAGAGGCTGCCCAATCTGCTCTGCCACACAAGAGTCCGACACAATCCCCATGTAACCAGGTAACGCAGGTCATCCAAGGGTCATCCTGATATTGTTCTCCGCAAAACAATACCAAGAAGTTCTGTTATCATTGTTTTTTTTCTCTCTCTTTCTCCTTTTTACTGCATCATCACTTGGTCACAGAGAGGAGTGGACTTGGCTCCAGAGTCATGTTTACACTGCACACAGCGGCGGCGCTCAGAACCTGAGCAGTGAGGATGAGAGCTCGGCAGAGAGCAGCGGTGTGGTGGAGTTTGTCAGGGCTCTGAGAGCTGCAGTCACACAGCTCCTGACAAAGCTCAACATTCCCCTCTACAGGGTAAAAATGGACCATCTTTAAAAATGTCTTTCTTAAAGCATTGCAGTGCCTTGGACCAGCATTTATTCAATGTTTTGAGTTTTATGTGATAAACCATCATAAAGTCCTTACTCATAAAACAAACTATTTTCAGCTGCAACTTTTCTCATTTTTGAGCCAATCTCTTCTTACTGAGACTAAATAGAAGGCATCATTCTCAAGACTCACTACAGATTCCTGGTGGGATTTACACTGACAAAAATAATGCAACCGTTTTTGGCATTTACTTAATCCTATTTAGTTACTTTAACGCAATTGTTTCATGTTAGCAGGGTAGGACAAAAAACATTTTAGGACAAATAACATGACTAACATACTTAAAAGACATAGGCAACAAATAAGGAAAAGAAAAACAATACTAAAAAAAGAAAGATAAAATAACAATAATAAAAACGTCCTCCCACCCCTCCACTGTGCCATGCAGTGCTCTGTCAGTCCAATTATGTTGCAGATCCAAGGAATCCAGGTATAAAATGAAAGGCTTCCAAACACAGTCAAAATCTTCCCGTCTGTTTTTGAAATTGTAACAGATTCTTTTTAAATGTAGAGCATCTATTATGACTGATATCCAGGACTTTAACGAGGGGACCTCCTTCCATTTCCATAATAGGACAACCAGTCTGTTAGCAGACACAAGACCATATGACATAAAATGAGCTTGTTTTTTGATTTGTAGTCAAAAAACTTTTTTATATTTGGTAATATATTTTTTTCAAATGTCTGATTTTCACATTGCTTTTTACAAACTGTGTTCTCTAAATTTATAGATACCTTTCTGTTCACTTCTGAGGGTGGGCTTTCCTCTGGAATGAGGAATGAAGATGCATTTCTATTAGTCTCCATGAAGGTTAACAGCCACATAGTGTTGAACAAGAGCGGTATTTGTATCGGGCTTCAGTTAAAGGGAATGTGGTCTGTAGAATACAATTTATAAAACTCAACCTGAAAAACAGAGATTTGAGAAAAATATTAATTGAAAATATAAATTCTTAAAAAGAAAAAACATGTTCTTTGCCTGTAACAAATGTTCTGTTGCTGTAATTGTTTGTTTAGGGTTGTACTTCAAGAAAGTTAATATCTTGTACAGGCTCAGCTTTACCCATCTTTCCATGAGTGTTTGAGAATTGCACTTCCTTAGCATGATACTGCCACCACCGTGCATCACCACAGGGCTATGCAGTTCTAGTTTTCCTCATTAGCACAAACGGTCTGGTCGGTTTCATACTACTAGAGCACCTTCAATTTTAAATTCTGTATTTTGGTTTGTAGTAAACAATCAATAGGATATTTTTTAATCTTTGAACTTGAAAAAAAATTTTTTTTTTCTTTTTAAGGTTAATGACTTATTGTTAGTCAAGAGATTCCTGCTAAGCTTTCTGCAGCTCCCTTAAAGGTATAGTGGAGGATGTCGTTTTTTCCAGGATCATTACAAATAGTGGTCCTCCTATTTGTCAATCATTCTGGTGATATATTTATGTAAGGCTGTCGTCCTACATGCTCATCCCCATTTTCACTTACCGCTGGTGAGCCTGACATATTTGAAAAATTAAAAATCTTGTTTTAGAAAGTAAGCTTGTATGAGCGATGTAAACAGCAACTCTTAAACAGAGCGTGCACGAGGAGAAATGAGCTTGTGCACGCTCTGGCACACATTTTATAGGCGTTCCCTCTCAGGAGCAGGTACAGGGTTGTGCATGTGCACATGGGCGGGTCTTTTAAAAAATTTGTGAAAATCCTTCACTATGTCTTTAAAGTCTCACTGATGCTTTTATTTGCTTCTGCTGTAAATGCTGTCATTGCTCAGTCTGCTGAATGTTTGTTGTTTTATCCTCTGTCTGTTTCCTAAATGATAAATCGAGCAGAACTCTGTGAGATTTTCAAAGGTTGGGATGGTTTTTTTTATATCAAAACCCTCCTTTGGATCTCTTCCTGATATTCCCCCTGGGCTATCTGCTGTGTTCCTTGGTCTTTACGATGCTGTTTGATATTTTTTGGTTCCCAAACAAACCTTTTAACTTTCAAAGAAAATCTGTATTCATAAAACAACATCTGGACTCTAGTTTTTCTATGGGTTTTCAGTAGAGCTGGTTGCTTTGTATTTATTTAGGGCTAATGGCTATGATTTTTATTTTCAAAGCAGTTAGATTTCCCTTTCACTTTTATTAAACAGTAACTTAAGGCTGCGCTTTTGGTTATATATAATTTTTACTCAGACTTTAAAAGGTTTAAAAAAAGAAAAGAAAGAAGCTAAAATTACAGCATACTGTATGTGATTGTGATTTATGCAGGCCTACCAATATGGCGTGTACACGCGGGAGCTGCTGCAGTTTGGTGGAAAGGTGTCCATGCTGTTGCTTCTGCCTCCCAGTGAGGACTTCAGCTCCAGTTACTGGCCTCTGGTGGGAACCAAAGAGCTGGGCCTCACCATGCCTCTGCAGATCTTTGAACTGGGTGAGTCACAAGCTGCAGTCTGGTTGGATGATTACTGGAGGAATGATTATTTTTTTGTTCTGTAGCGATGGGGTAGACCAAGTATATTCTGTAGGTGCATGATGGCAATAAGGAAAAATGTAACTCTGATAAAATGGGACTTCTTTGGACCTACAAAAGAACTATAGTCATCTTTATTCTGAGGGATAAGGACTTTGAGATCAATATCTTTCATATTGAAAGGAGCTAAAGAACAGAAGTAAAATCTGATTATTTTGTTTTTTAGAGTACAATAAATTCTGAAGCTAACTGGGTTTGCTTTGATGTCTTTATTTGTCCCGGTCTCCTCTGCGAATGGTCAACCAGTTCACTTCTGGACATATGAGCGGGAATTTGTGTGTCAGTACTGCCAGGCGTGGGTAAGGCTGGAGCTGGACACCCATCTGGCCCAGCAGGCTCTGCGTGAGGCACTGGACACCAAGGAGGTGCAGGAGGCCCGGGAGCGGCTCAACAACATCACTGACCTTTCTCGTGTAAGAACATGACACCTGCTGTTTTTCTTAGTGCAAGAAAAATGAATCGTTTCTTAAAGTCTAATAAAGGAAATATACTCCCTTTACGTCAGCAAAACTGCTTCAAATGTTTTCCTGGACTGCTTCTTTTAGCGTTTGGAGATGTTGTGGAGGGATGCCCGTTGGATAATGGACTGCCTGCAGTGTGTGCGCTCCAAGCAGTGGGTGGGAGCGGTGCCATTAGGCCTGGTGATGGGTGGAGACCCACCCCCTCGTCCTGATGGGGAGGAGGAGGAAGACAGTCTGACTGCCAGGTTAAAATGGCCAACACGAATCCAAACACAGAGATCTATGTCAGGTAATGCAGCATTGCAGGTGGTTATTGAATCGAATTGAATCATTCAGTTTTAAGGAATAAAGCATCAAAATGTTACAAAGGGTTTTGAATATTGTTAAACAGTGCAAATAGGCCATAAAGGTTGCATTAAAACATCCTTAACAATGCTTTGAAGAGAGGTGTGGCAGTTTGCTGCACTATGAGGATGAATCAAAATGTCAGAATGACTAGGATGTGAGTCCTTTTGACAACTGTCTAATATCTAATAAGTTTGTTTACTTATGTTTCTAAAAAGAAATCAGAGGTGACTACAGTTATTATTATTATTATTATTATATATTATAGATTTTTTACAGTTCAGTGTAAAAGTGTCAGGATGGAAGCCAGAAAAACAAATATAAGAAAATAATCCATTTTGTTTTGACCCAGTGATTAAAATCTACTGGAGAGCAGAGCTCAATTATCGACCTGCTGCTTGAAGAGACAGAAAATACAAAGGGGAAGAAAGGCTGAGTGTTAAAACAGGAACAAGAGTAAAGGCTTCAAAACAGTGTGACATGGAGCTTTGAGGCTAGAGAAAATGAAGGTTGGGAAGCAACACTAGCTGCAAGGCTGCAACCAGCAGGCTGCAGCATGATGAGTAAAAGCATGAAGAGATTGATTAAACAGGATGAAATATCTGTTTTTGTTTTAGTCTAGATCATTTTCCTCTAGTTTCCTTTGTTCTTCTGGTTGTTTCTTAGACTCATTCAGACGGCCATGTTATGCTTCCCTTAAAGTATTTTTTATCAAATTCCTTTTGGTGACACAGAATTGTTAAGGAAAGATATTTTAAAGCCGACGAACTTTCCTATCAAAAAGGCAACAGAGAAACTAAAGCCAACTCTAGAAAAAAACAAAAAACAGTACAGTGTCAATATGGAGGAAGGGACAACAAGGAAGTTGGATGTAAAGAAACTGAGTAGCTTTTAAACTAGTGAATATTTCATGGGTTTCTTGCTCATAGTGCTTTCTGTTCACTAATGTTCTCTAAGGTCTTCAAAGGACAGCTGTACTTATACGCTGCAAAATAGATCTAGAAATAAGTAAAGATTTCTTAAATGAAGTGTATTAACCCTAAGGCCCCGTCCACACGAAGACGAACCCTGGCCTAAACGCACAAATTTTTCACCAAACCAGCCTCTCATCCACACGAAGCCGGCGTCTCGGGGGTCTGTAAACGATCTTTTTTTTATTCAGCCTTCAGAGTGGGAAGATTTCGAAATGCTGTTTTCGCGTTTCCATCTTTACGCTCTAACCGCATATTTTTTTTACACGCATGCGTCATAGCGTCGCCTCTAAACACGCATGCGCGACACAGTATAACAACAACAATGGCGCCGTTGCTGCTAATGCTACTCACCCTGCTGTCGGGCTACAACAGAATCTTCTTCTTCTGGAATATCTCCAGGAAGAACAGAGCAATATCGACGACATAGTTCAGCACCTAAATTTGACTTAACCACGAAAATGGACCCGCAGGCAACCATGTATAAATATTAGTGCGCATGCCCAACATTTCGTCGCTTATTTTTGCTTTGGCACCACAGCGCCACTTACAGGNGTCGCTTATTTTTGCTTTGGCACCACAGCGCCACTTACAGGCCTGGCATACATTTTGCAGCGTTTTCATGCATTCGTGTGGACGCTCACATTTATTTTACGTCTCCGTCTTTACGGCAAAAGTTTTGGAAAATATCAGCATTTCGTGTTCGTTTTGACTTCGTGTGGACGGGGCCTTAGTTTGAGTAGGCAAATAAGATGATCTGCCAACGGAATGAGTAATTTTCTCTTAAAATAAGATAATTAGATAATATGCACTTGAAATAAAACAATGTAATTGTTTTTTCTTATTTTAAATGTTAATTATCTTATTCCACTGCCAACGTGTCTCAATTACCTCCTCAATCCAAGCAGGAAAAAAATGACTTACTTAGATTTCATTTTTTACAGTGACTGATTATAAGGCACTGAGATGAAGTTTATTTACTAACTTTTGGTGTTTCAAAGTAATTAATGCTGGTTATAAATTCTTGCCTTACTTTTGAGGTTTGAAATGTTTGTGATAATTTATCCTTTTTCTTATTTGTGTTGGCCTGTCACAAATACCAATATCATGCATTAAGGCTTGTGTCTGTATCAAAACAGAATGTGAAAAAGTAAAAAACTTGAAATATTTAATCTCATAAAAAGTCTGGGAAACTTGCTGTTTTTTGCCGTGAGTGTGAAGTCCCAATCTCTCCTAACTTCTCTCTAAATCTTGTTTTCTCTTTCAGGTTCGGCCAATGTTCCCTTACCGGTTACCGCCACGGTCTCCCCTCCACAGGGAATCCCAGCTGCCCCTCGGGATGCTTCGCTCATGTTGATGGAAGGTGTCGTGAAGGGCGGTTACCCCGTTGACATCAACGCTCAGTCGACAGTTGACCTGGCCAGCATTGGGCTGCCGGAGGACGGATACACCGGCGCTTTAACGGAGTCTGAACTCAACTCTGCAGCTGTGGCACAGCTGGAAGCCACGGTGTTGGACAACATGGACTTCCCCCCCAGCATAACGGACGTCCTCAGGCCGATGGAGATGGCAGAGCTGGTGGACATCTTGCCTACGCTGAGTCTGATTGAGGAGGAGAACACCAGCGCTCCATCCACGCCGTCTGTCATGGACATGCTAGAGAACTTTGCTCTCGGTGTCGGGGAGGAAAACAACCACTTTATCTTTGAGGCCTCCAGCCTGCTGAGCGAGGGTGGAGCGGCGTCAGAGCCAGACGATGTGAATGAGACGTACTGTGAGGACGTTGTACTAAATGGAGGGGAAGTTGCATCTTCTTGTTCCACTGTAAGGGCCTCAGAAATCCACACCCCACTGTGTGACTTACCTCTAAATGATGCAAAGACAAAGGAGGCTCCAAGTAGGGGGGGATCCCTTCCAGTGAGGAGCCTGGTAGAGTGGGACAGACCCTCCACCAGTTCTTCATGACATTAAACTGTCATTTCCAACTTTCTGTCACACTTCAGCAATCAGCAAAGCAGTGGAAAATACCCACTTCTTTTCACTGTATTCATCATAGTAGATAATAAATGGAGGATGTCTTGTGAGAAGAATATCCAGCCTCATCGGTGACACTCCAGAAGCCAGGCCTGTTTTTGCACACCCCTAAACCCTTCATTTCTAGTTTTTTTCAGCATATAGATTTGTGCTCATGAGTTTCCATTCTGAATATGGAAATGATAAAATATTACAAAAACTTCCCACTAGCTTTGGGTTGATCAAGTCATTTAGTATCAGGCAGTTGTGTTTGAAACTTCCTGGGTGCCCCTGCTAAGGTGTAATTTACCTTATGCAGCGTGTTGCCCCATTTTCAACACCAACGGAACCAAAAGCAGCTTGAACTTCTGCTCTGGGTTCTATCAGCTGCATTAAATCCCAAAGGCATCCTCTGATGTTTATCTCTGTGGTGTAAGCGGGCTTTATTCATGCAAAGCCTTTTTTCTTGGTATTCAAATCAGCGGCCATTTTTACCAGAACTGCCTCCTCACTGTGCATCTTGAAACAGCCACACTACAGTTTGGCTGTGTGAAGATGCACTCCTTAATTAGAAATCAGAGTCTAAATAGCTTTTTTTTTTGAATATATTTGAGATATCTTTCCTGTTTTATATGGAAAAAAATAATGCAACCACTTTTGGCATTTACTTAATCACATTTTGTTATATAAACACAGTTGTTTGTAACTATGATTAAGTAAATGCCAAAAGTAGTTCCGTTTTGCTTCTAATAATCATTATCTACACCAGAGCATCATTGGATACAACCATAGGTGACAGAAAAGGTTTAGCTTTTTAATTTATGGTAATTCATGGTATGTTAACTTATGAGCACTAGTCCTAAATGTCAAATGTAAAAAGGTAATAATAATAATAAGTTATTGTTGTAGTAATGACTTGAATATAACTTGCTCACTACAAGACAAAGCCCTATTGGTGCTTTTCTGAGCTGTGTACAAACTCTTCAGATTCAGTCAAATAAATGAGTTTCTTTTGGTTTTTAAGAGAAATGCTGTTACATGTTTTTGTTTCATTAAATTAAAAATGGAAAATCTTTTTATTCCTGTGGCAGAGACATTTGAAATTCTCAAATTAAGCCTCCTCAGGGTCGTTTTAAGTTCTTTCATGACTGCTGATGTTAACCCAAGATCACATTTAGCCATATTTTATAGGTTTACTAACTCCATCCATCTTCTGACACACTGAATCCCAAGTGGGGTTGGGAGGGGTGCTGGAGCCGGGTACAGGTCATTAGTCTATCAATGGGCAACACAGAGACAAACAATCTTTCACCCACACCCCTAAGGAGAATTTAGAAAAGCCAATTAACCTAACTGTTTTTGGACTGTGGGAGGAAGCTGGAGTACCCGGAGAGAACCCACGCATGCACAGGGAGAACATGCAAACTCCATGCAGAAAGACTCCGGGCCGAGAATTAAACTCGCAAACTTCTTGCAGCAAGGCAGCAATGCTACCCACTGTACCACTGACCAGCCCACGTTTACTATTACTATGGCAAGCCGTATTAACATCAATTTGGTTGTACCGCCTTTACATTCAAGATATCTCAAATTGTTTTATGACTAGACGTTTAAGCGATTTAAGATATCTCTAATTATATTTTGACTAGTCAAAATACCTATTCGGGATATCTCTAATTACATTCCGACGAGTCGAAATGACGTCAGATTTACCATTAACTTGTATGGAGACGTCAATCTAAGATATCTAGAATACACATTTCAGATATCTACGATTAAATTACGACTAGTCATAAAGTAATTTCAAGATATCTCGATTTTAGTTTTGACTTGTTATAATTCTAATTAAAGTCAGTTTAATCCAAAGTAGGAAAAGTTAAATCAGCGTGTGACGCTTTAAATGACAAATCTGGAGTAGTAATTTGAGATATCTTGAAAGGAATTTTGATTAGGCAAAATGTAATTTAAGATATCTTGAATTATTATTCTTCCTAATCAGAATGTAAATACAAATATCTTAAATTACCATTCCGGATAATCAAAATGTGGTTTTGTCTAGTCAAAATGTATTTTAAGTTATCTGAAACGTAATTATGGATGGTCAGACGAAACCGAATTTATATTAAAAAGGCTTGCCATACTATCTCGACCCAGAGAATTGTGGCCATGGGCATTCACTGCCATCTTGTGGTCAAATATGTGAACTACAACGACCCTTTACCGTTAAGCAAAGGATTTTAAACCTTTTTTTGTATGGTCATTTTTGGCCATTTTAATAACCCTTGCTGAGCTGGGATGTAGGCTTTTTCTTCAATAACAATTTAACATTTAAAATAAGTCTCTGTCGGTTTAAATTGGAGTGCAGAGCTCAGCACTGCTCCTCCTGGCTGCAGCTGCGCCCTGACGCATAATGAAAATATAATAAATCCAAGAGGATATATTAGCCACAGCAAGACAGACCGCAACCTGTACGGATTTCATTTATCCTAAACTGAATTATCACCACAGTCAAGGCTTTGTTGCATTTTCCTGGTAGGATGTCATCTGAAAGTGCTGCGTCATCCAAAGGTATGTCCTGATGTCTACTGCAGGAAGGCAGTAAGCTTCCTTTAGCTGGTTTCCATTGGAAGTTTGGTTCAGAAGGAGACTTTAAATGCACTAGAGATACAGAATATAACTCTGATTAATACTTCATTTAAAACAGTCCTCTCTGAATGCAGTCATCTTTAGGGATGGGTTTAGGCAATGTATTAATCAAATAAAGATCAAATAAATGAAGGTTAAAATTATTAAAAGTAAAATAACACAAATATTGCTGTTTAAGCGATGAGGTCAAATATTTCACCTTATATTTTTTTCCAATATTACTCAATAAAATTCATTGCTTAAATGGAAATATTTACCCTTCAGCAATTTCACCAACCAAAAAACTAAAAAAAATATTATTTTCATAAATCTAAACTAATAGGAAATGAGAATAAAAGTCTAAATACAGTAGTCTCTTGGTAAATCAGAAACAGGGAAACACATTAAAACAGGTCATTTCTAAACCTCAGCATATTTAATTAATTTTTTCTATAAATATATATATATGTTTTTACAGTAGTTTTCTATACAGTAATGAAGCTCTAGTGGAAGTTCATAAGAATCAGGTTGCCTTTATGCAATTATAACAATAAAAGGTATGCATTTGGAATTTCAAAAAATTTGGAATAAATACACTCCTTAGTATTATTTTTGAATAAGCATGCTTTATTAATACCAAATCCATAAACCTGATGATTATGTAATTCCAATAAATAAGCTTTATTTTACAAATGAATATGCATCCTGGAAGGTTTATTTAACAGGCATTGTGTAAAAAGAATTTTTAAGTAAATGTGAATTATTTAATAAATGTTTCTGACTGTAGATACTTTAAATGTATCATATGCGTAATTAAGATTATTTTCATGACACAGATTCTATACAAATCTATCCAATCAAACTTTGCAATTAATGCAAAACTCTCTGTTTTGGAACTAATGCTGTTTTAGTAATCTAAGACGGATGACTTGAATTCAGTGAACTTTTTAGCAATCTGAGACTTGGAGACTTAGATAGATTTATTTTATAATTTTGTATATACGAGTGTTTAAAAAAAATAAAATTCGTTTAAAACAGCTCTAGACAATTTAAATTTTTTTTAAGTGCCGTCTTTATAAACAGTAATAAATACTGTACATAAAAAGAAAATAGTAATATATTGAAAATAACTGTATATTTACAGTTCTAACATTATTTTTTTAAATAAATAAAATAACCAATTTTACATAACATTCAGCAGTCTAATGGCTGTGGAGAAGAAACTTATGGAATCTGCTGGATCTGCATCGGATGCTTCGAAGCCTCTTCTTAGAGAGCAGCAGGGAGAACAGCCCATGGTGGGGGTGTGAGGGGTCACTGATAATGTTATGGGCTCGGGACACACAGTGCTGGGATGAAATGTCTTTAATGGAGGGAAGAGGAGCCCCGATGATCCTCTCTGCTGTTCTCACCTTCTTCCAGTCTGAGGTGCTGCAGCCTCCACACCACACAGTGAGACAGCTGGTCAGAACGCTCTCTATGGTGCTTCTGTAGAAGGTGGTGAGGATGGGTGGGGGCAGGTGGGCTCTCCTCATCCTCCGCAAGAAGTACATGCGCTTCTGTGCCCTTTTGATCAGCGATGTGGTGTTTACCACTGTCATGTTAACCGTGCTTGTGGCATCAGTGGAACAGAAAAAACTTTTCAGTGAACCAGACTCAATGTTTGCAACCATCAGCAGTGTCTTACAGGAGGTTTGGAAGAACAGAACAGATGAAAATACATATAATGAACAACTTCCTTCTCCACTCTATAGCTTAATATGTTAAGACGCCACACAAAAAATCACCAAAAACAACTTTGTAATGCCTGAAAAAGCATAAATTTAATCAGCTCCTGATCTCAGAGGGTCTAACCTGCCCTGGTGATGGCAGTGATTACAGTGGCATTATTCTGGCAGGATGAGGCTGCAAATTTGCAGGCATCACGCATGCACCACGGACATGACACTACAAGTTTAAAAAGTCACAATTTATAACTCTCATAAATAAAAATTATTTCTTACACTAAAATAGAAAATCACTTTGAGGAAAATTGTGGTATCAGTAATGATATGACTCATTTGAAACAACTAGAAATGCATGATGTCCATCTGATGGTGGGTGGGCATTTATTGGATCATTTATTATCTTGATAAATTGATAAGATGATGAAAACAATCACAACATGGGTGAATAGCCCATTTTGTAATATTTTTCACTTCTTTCCCATTGGGGCATTGGTAAATATAAAGAATATGATTAAATGCGGTGACTACGGGATGTTCAGGGATATAAATCTAATGTATCTGGTGTCCTGAAGAACCCTAGTTTAATTTAGTATATTTTTTAAGAATAATGTTTGGGATTGTGGGACTATAATTTCAGTCACAACTATACAGTTACCTAAAAATTACTTCAAAGAATAAATGAAGCGTGTTTTATTATCAACTTTATCACAATATGCTAATATTTTGAGAAGGACCTGTACTAACAAATGTAGTTTCTAGTATTTTTTTCCATTGACTAATTGCATTGAATTTCCAAAACGCATTGGCTACACTGGAAAAACGATCTAGATATAAGTAAAACTTTCTTTAATTAAGTGTATTTACCCTTAATTTGAGCAGGTAAATAATATACCGTAGTTTGCCAATGGAATGAGTATTTTTACTCTTAAAATAATTAGATAATATGCACTCGAAATAAGACAATGCAAATGTGTTTTCTTATTTAACTGTAAATTGTCTTGCTCCATTGGCAAAATGTCTCTTTTCCAAATGCACTTATTTTAAGAACAAATTACTTATCTAGATTTTGATTTTTTCCAGTGTAGTTATAACAGAAATATATTTTTTATATCCTTTTAAGTGGTGAAAAAAGTAGTTTCTTAACATGATTTTCAAAAAGTAGCTGCAACCAACTGTAGAATGTGTTAAATAAAAGTTATCTTTATCTTTTTCTAAAAAAAAACCGTCAAGAATTGTTTGCGGCTCAATTAGTTTTATTTAAAAAAAAAATCAATTCACAAAAAAAATAGTCTACAACGGAAATATATATTTTTTAAAATCTTTTTTGTGGGTTTTTTATGCAATTTTCCAAAAATATTAGCAACCCATTAATTCCCTTTTCTCCTTAATTTTAAAATAAAAAAATTGAGAGGGCGGAGTGCTTGTTTAAACAATTCAAATCTGTGGTAGATATTTATCAAACATGTTTTCTTTTTGTAAATAAAGGTCATGTAAAAACAAGTTATAACAGAAACATATATATATTTATTGATTGGGACATTTTTTTCACGATTTTCCAAAAATATCAGCAACCTGAGGTGGATATCTGTTAAATATATCTTTTTAATATATATTTGTTTAAGTTCATGCAATGTTTGAGGCTCTAAGCAAGTTTAAGTTGGTATTTTATCGTTTTTAGCTAAACTATCAGGAGCTGTTATAGGAGATCCAGTATGCAGGTTGAAGAAGAGTCTGATAAAATGGAGAATATAAAATAACATATGGTTAATAAAAGGGTGTAACTTTGTGATGAAAGTTGATGAGGACACTCGGGTGGAGGCTGATGGACCTACAACCCAAAAACCTCAATGTATAAAAAAATAACGAATAACAGCCGATTCCGATGCCAAAATCGATATCATGCATCCCTAGAAGTACAATTTAAATTCTATCCATCCAGAAAAAAATGGATATGCTTCATTTTAAATATAGCATAGTATATTTTTTTCTTGTAAACTTTCTGGTAAACTTGGAGATCTATTTTATTGCATGTTGGATATCCCAGTAAATCTGTTTCACCTTTAAATCTGCAGTTCTCCCTACTTCTCTCTCTCTGCTCTGTTTAAAAAGGTTTACAAACCTATTTACTAATATAATAATGGCAGAAACACAAATTCAAGATATGTAGAAGCTCTGCAGTCTGATTCTGTCTGTACAAAAAGAAAAGGTGTTAATTTTAGCCTGTAACTGGGAGTCATGGTGCTCTGAGAAGTCAAGCTTTTTTAACAATTAAGAACAATGTTTTCTAAAGCTTCTTGCATTATAATACTAACTTGTATAAACTTAGAATCTGTTGCCATCTTTAGCTGAAAAAACTCAAACAAACAGAGTTTTTAGTGTTATGATCTCTAATTTTTTTTTACTTTTACTTAAACATCAAAGTAGCTGCTGGTTAATATTCACTAAGTGCTGCTGTGTGTCTCTCCTCCAACCACGTAGCTACTTTGTACACAGAGAAATGCGACAGCAAATCGACAGAGCCGATGATGTTACACCGAGAGGCGGGACACGGGAGTGGCGCAAGAAGAAAAAAAAAAAGTGGACTCAAAATGCTCTGAACACAGATAGCTGCACCCAACGTCTGTTACCTTTGGCTAAAGTAAATGAGCAGAAAGGGGTGGAAAAAAGCGGAAATTAAGGTCAACATTTTGTGTTTTTCTGTCGTTTCAGCTGTTCCGCCATCTTTAGTATCAAAGAACGATCCTTTGAGGATTGTTCTGCTGGGCAGGACCGGGACGGGCAGAAGCTCCTCTGGAAATACTATCCTGGGTAGAGCAGCCTTCTGGGTGGAGTTGTCCCCCTCCTCTGTAACCGCAAGGTGCAGGAGACAAACCGGGACAGCAGGCGGTCGGAGTGTCTCAGTCATCGACACCCCGGGGTTCTTCCATACAAACCTGTCCCCAGAGAACGTCGTGGCAGAGGTGGGTCAGAGCGTTCGTTTATACTCTCCAGGACCCCATGTGTTCCTGGTGACCCTGCGGCTCGGCAGGTTCACCCAGGAGGAGAGAGAGTCCTTGGAGTGGATGAAGGTCATGTTTGGGCCGGAAGTGTCCAGGTTTACCATGGTCCTGTTCACCTGGGGGGACCAGCTGAGGGGCAAAAGTGTCGAATCCTTCCTGGAAGACAGTCCAGAGCTGTCCCTGTTTGTCAGCAGTTGCCGTGGTTATCACGTCTTTGATAACAGCAACCAGGAAGAGAACTCAGCAGGATCTGAGCAAGTCGTGCAACTTCTGGAGAAGATTGACCAGATTGTTTTAAACAACCAAGGTGGTTGGTACAGCAATGATATGTATATGGAGGCTGAGAGCGCCATAAGGGAGGCACGGGAGAGGCTGCAGGAGGAGAGGGGACATCGACTTCAGCTGGAGACAGAAGGAGAGGAGGAGAAGGTAGCAGATGGGGAGCGGAAGGAGGAAGAAGATGCCAGGAGGAGAGCTGAGAGGCTTTTCTGGTGTGAGCTCCTGACCGCAGTGGGCAGAGGAGCCGCCGAGGGGGCGGGCATCGTGACCAAGGACAAAAGCAAACCAGTCAAGAAGGGTAAAGTGGTAGAAAAGGCAATGGGTCTGGCGGCGTCACCTCTATCCATCAAATCAGCCGCAAAGGTGCTGGAAGGAGCCGTGAAAGAAGGGAGCAAGGTGCTGCAGAAACACAAAAAGATGCTGCTGCACTGAGACAGTTGATGTTTATTACAAAGAAGTGATTTGTGAAATCTCTGCACATCCTAAGGGCACTTTAAGACTGTGGAATAACGTTTGAATGTTTCACCTCGATCTGACAGCAAAATATAATATCTTTGAGACAAGAAAATTAGTTGGCTGATAAACAAATAAAAGTGGATCTGTGAACACTTTTCTTACTTCTGAAATAAAAACAAAAATTAGACATCATGGCTATGGATAGAAACAACACTGCAGCTTCTTTGGCTTTTCATTATAAGAAAATGATATTTAGCCCTTTTTTCCCTTATAATAATAAAAAAAAAACAAAATACAAAAGACACAGTAAACAAGACGAGAAAAAGTAACATAAATGGCAAAAGTAAATACAGTAAGTTACTCAGGGAGTGCCTATCATTACAAATTGAAGGTGTGTTTTTGGTCATTGGGTGATCAGGTTTAGTGTAGGAACTTCTAAAAAAAAACTAAAGCTGTTAAAAAAATTAACAAACACATGAGCTGAAACCACCTTCAGGTTCATTTTCATGGATTCAACACTCAAAACTGTTAGCATGACAACAAAACTGGCTCACTGAATAATCTTCAGAGTCAGAAGCGTTTTACAAAAAAAGGAAATGTAGGACAAAAAAAAAACAAAAACTCTCCCGGCTGTGATTTACAGAGAGCATGGTGCTCATCACTGACACGCATCCTCCGTCACATTTCCATCCCTACAGCATCGTTGTACACAAATTAAAACAAAATGATGCACAAACACAGACTTACGGACACAATCACATGATAAAATATCTATGTAATGCTGGTGTTCAGATGCAAGAGTCCCATTGCTACGTACAGCTTCAGGGACTGCGCCCCCATGCTGAACTGCGGCAGGCGGGTACGTCAAATCTAAACCGGCATTGGCAGGCTCATCTTTCCTTTCCCTCGGATCACTGCAAAAAGAATAGACAAGCTTTGAGAAGGGACTCCTTTTCCTCAGGAGGGGATTTTTACTCCGTTTCACTTTAGCTCACCCCTCGTGACGTAAAGGTAAAAGAAGTCGCAGTAGAAAATGGTCTGAACCACTCCGGACACGACGGCGATCTGGTCAAAGAAGCCCTCCGTGTGGTAGCGCCACACCCAGTTGGCGATGTAGAGGGCCCTGTAGAGGCCGAGGAAGAACAGGTAGTGGGTGGTGATGGACTCCGCTTCGCCCGTCTTGGTGATCATGAAGAGCTGGGGCATTATGGCAACGGATTCAAGGAAGATGGAGAAGGTCCACAAGATCTAAATGAGGAGGTGGACATAGTCAGTGCTTTGCAAAAATATTTATAACCCTTGAAGGTTTCAAGTGCAACAGACCAATACAAAGTAGTCCTGAATTATGACACAAATGGTTTACCAAAGTACAAAATTGGTCTCTATTTGAGGCAGTTGAATTTTATTTAGTGGCATCAGAATAAATTAGGTTGAATACCAATTTACATTTGGGATTTCGGCCAATAGAAAAAAAGGCTATAGACATGCATCAATTCCCACTTAAAAAAAAAAAAAAGAAAGAAAAAAGCATAGAGCCTCCTTCTTTGTGTTGTGTTGCGATATTAAAGTGGCTGTAGGGTGTAAAGTCTCTTTCTCACTTACCTCCAGTGGAGTAAAAGCATAGTTCTCCAGGAAGGACAACCCGATGACCGGAACCAACAAGAACTCCACTCTGAACGTGTCGTTCTCTGAATTGTAGGAGTTCTTGAAGCGCATGTAGATCAGGTACACGGTAGCATAGGACAGAGCCAGAAACACCACCTGGGAACAGTCAGCACTTTGAGCTTAGGCTTTGCTGTTTTGCACGAGGCTGCCTACTTTGCATCATTACTAAAGAATAATGGAGCTCTACACTTTCAGCTGCTTGCCAGAAATTCATTTGGCTACTCTAGTGAATACTTTAGGGTCACTCGAACGTGAGAAAAACAATAGGAAACCGTTGCAGTTATCTATTAATTGTAATATTTCGTAACAATATTGCATTGTCATGCTTTCCTAACGTCACAAACCCTCAGTCTTAGGCAATCACATTTTCTGAGGAACTGAATTTGGGGATTTAATTAGCGGTTTGATGTAAATGATGCTGCCTGGACATCCATATGTATGCAGTGCATCTCCCCCCAACCCTAAAGGGCAGATTATACTTCTGCAACTGCACACATCAAATGTCGCTTGGGTCTGGTCGCGAACCAGTTTTGCTGGTATGCTTCTGAAGGGTCAGTCTGGAATTTCTAGGGACGCACAGCAGTTTCCCACCAAAGTGCAAGGGGGAGCCTATTTGAGAACTCGAGAGAACTTCACGTATTTATCTCTCAGTCTCTTCCGCCTTTGTAAACACCCCTTTGGATCCCGCTCAAGGATCTGGTTGTTCTCCCTTCAAGAGATGGCAGAGACCTTGGCATCTTTATATAATTTGTCTGAGGCATCGTACAAGAAGTTGTACTTCCGAAACTCCTCAATTAACCTTTCGTCGTAGTTGTCCATTGGTTTTGTCCATTGCAGTTATTCCTCGTAGTTGGTCCTTGGTTTTTAAAAACCGAATCGAGAAGGACGACCACACAGACAGTCAGAAAGGCATACCAAGCACCAATCACAGCTGCTTTTTGTCTGCGCACTTCCACTTGAGACCTGCGAGGGTTTGCCACCGTCCGACGCGTAGTCAGGATTTTTTTTTGATGGTTGCAGAAGCTATGCCTCAGAAGCATAAATTGGCCTTAACTCTCAAATCTGCAGTTATCCCTATTGATGTTTACTTTCCTAACTACATTATTTCCTTCCACTTAACTTTACATACTTTAATACGGTCTGCAAACTGCCAGATTGTTTAGCAAAGATCTTTTCAGTCTCATTTTGAGACAATCAGCTCTCTCTTTTTTCTCACATTACATTTAACTTCTATTGGTATCCTTTTATAAGAGTTAGTAACATTTTTTCCCCAATTCATTCTAGGTTTTTATTGGCTGTAAGCCAAAAATAAAAAAAACAAAAGCAAATAAGCACCTAAAACAAGAAGATGCACCTATTGATGCGTGCAAACGGGAACTTTTAAATAGCTCACCTTAAAAGAGAACAACACTGACTATTTCACACACAATCATTACACTGTGTGCAGAATTATTAGGCAAATGAGTATTTCGACCACATCATCCTTTTCATACATGCTGTCCTACTCCAAGCTGTATAGACTTGAAAGCCAACTACCAATTAAGTAAATCAGGTGGTGTGGATCTCTGTAATGAGAAGGGGTGTGGCCTAATGCCACAACAACCTATATAAGGTGTGCTTAATTATTAGGCAACTTCCTTTCCTTTGGCAAAATGGGTCAGAAAAGAGATTTGACAGACTATGAAAAGTCAAAAATTGTCAGATGTCTTTCAGAGGGGTGCAGCAGTTTGGAAATTGCCAAGCTTTTGAAGCGGGATCATTGCACAATTAAGTGGTTCATTAGCCAACAGGGGTGTAAGAAGCGTGTTGAAAAAAATAAGACGCAAAATAACTCCCCATGAATTAAGAAGGATCAAGAGTGAAGCTGCCAGGAAGCCATTAGCCACCAGTTATGACATATTTCAGAGCTGAAACATGTCTGGAGTGCCAAGAAGCACAAGGTGTTCAATACTCAGGGACCTGGCCAAGGTAAGGAAAGCCGAAAAAAGGCCACCTTTGAACAAGACACACAAGACAAAACCTCAAGATTGGGCCAAGAAATATCTAAAGACTTATTTCTCCAAGGTGTTTTGGTCTGATGAAATGAGTGAGTCTTGATGGGCCAGATGGATGGGCACCAGGCTGGATCAGTAAAGGGCAGCAAGTTCCTTATCGACTCAGACGCCAGCAAGGTGGAGGTGGGGTATTGGTATGGGCTGGTATCATCAAAGATGAACTTGTTGGACCTTTTCGCGTTAATAATGGAGTCGAGATCAACTCCCAGACCTACTGCCAGTTTCTTGAAGACACCTTCTTCAAACAGTGGTACAAGAAGAAGTCGCCATCATTCAAGAAAAACATGATATTCATGCAGGAAATGCTCCGTCACATGCATCAAAATACACCACAGCGTGGCTGGCCAGAAAAAGACTAAAAGGAGAAATGACATGGCCTCCTTGTTCGCCTGATCTGAACCACAAGGAGAACTTGTGGTCCTTCATGAAAGATCTACAGGGAGGGAAAACAGTCCATCTCTCTCAACAGTGTCTGGGAGGCTGTGGTGGCTGCTGCACGCATTGTGGATGGCAAATGGATCAAGACACTGACAGAATCTATGGATGGAAGGCTTTTGAGCGTCATGGTGAAGAAAGGTGGATATATTGGTCACTGATTTGTTGTTTTTTTTGTTTTTGAATGTTGTAAATGTTTATTTCTGAATTTTGAGTTGTTATATTGGTTTACCTGGTGAAAATAAACAAGTGAGATGGGTATATAATTGTTCTTCATTACGTTGCCTAATAATTCTGCACAGTAATATTTACCTGCACACACAGACATTCTCATAAAATGGCCAAATCTAAAAACAAAAACACATCAACTTCCCAAAATATGAAATGTTGATACTAAGGAGTCTTTTGGGTTGATCGAGAACACAATTGTGGCCCAATAATAAAAATAGTCCTCAGAAATACAACATGCCTAATAATTCTGCACACAGTATATTATATAGGCAGCTTTCTGATAGAAATAATAACTCCAAACGTACCTTCATGATTGTGTTGTAGGCTGAAATGTAGACTGTGAAAAGGTCAAGGTACCTGGTGGTAAAAACAAGTGCAAACAGGACCTGAGATTTCCCAGAGATGCCTGTGAAAGGAGTGGGGAGAATGGTGGAAGGAAAACTTATTATTATTCCCATCAGCAGCAGATAACAGCAACAGCAATTAAGCAAACAATGCATCAAATCATAAGCAGTGTGTTTCATGATAACTAGTGATGTTATGAGATGCTTCAAGGCCGAGGCTTTGTGTTGAATATTGGAGGGGCGATTTAGACGCGTATCGAGGCTTGCTTCATTCGTGGGAGGAGCCAAAATAGATGACATCCGAAGCCTCGCTGCCCGCCATACCACATGACCGCTTCTAGAAGTGGTTCAGCTCGCCAAGAACTTCAGCAAGCATTTAAACATCCTCAGTATTCAGTCAAGATGTAGGAGTTTGTAGGAGAGTTTGGATATATTCTAAGAATAGATTGGTGTTTTTTCCAACCAGTCTAGTCGGGTAAAACTAGTCTGGTTGGATTAAACAACGTAATAATCAAAATCTGAGCAAGCCAATGATAAAAATGTAAATCTATAGCATAACTGTGTCAAATACTTAGTGGCGTCAGCTATAAGAGATGGATTTCCAATCTTTGGGTTCTTGGTTCAAGACCCACCACAGACTTTCAAAAGTTTTGATAAAACACATCTAGTATTTCGGCTAATGTGACTAATTCGCATTTTTTGCCCAAATATAAATATAAACACAAAAAAATAGATTGGAAGGTTTAACCAAAAGATTGCTTGAACGCATAACTTCCAACCCAATTAAAAACACAAACTGTGGGAAAACTATTATGTTTAAATAAAAAGGACTAACACCTTTCATTTTCTCATCATTGCCCAATTTCCACAAACACTTTCACTGTCTGCTTGAACTTATTTCACTAAAATGGCAGAAAAACTGTGTACCTACAATTATTCAGGGTTTATACATGAATAACTCTCACTTAATGCTTTTTAATGCTCTTAGAAATAATTTTAATGCCACCAACAGGTACTCGTCGACAGGCTGCAGCCATGTCCCGAATTCCTCGTTTTCCAGCCACTTTTGTTGAAATTTGCTTTCCCCCCATTATCTAGCTTTTTCTCCGACTCAAGCGTATTTTCTGAACATACAGCTTTGCGATCAACCGGAAGCAGTTCCACGCAAATATAAGGTGATATAATATGTCTGACAAAATAGTTTTTATAAACATTTTTTTAAATAAAGCATTTTAAATGCCACAATAAACACATTTAATGAATTGTAATGCCAATTAAGGCCTTAATTTAAAAAAAGAATTTAATGACTTTTAATGAATTTTAATGACTATCGGAAACCCTGTTATTGTTCACTTCTAAGACATTTTCAGCTCAATAAAACTTTAAGATTTGTATTATACAGACCAAACATTAACAATTTCAGATGAACTTATATGAGGGGAAAAAACAATATTGCAAAAAAAAAAAAAAACACAATTACATTACTAGCTGTAGTTCTGCTTTCCACCAGTAGGTGGTGCCATGCTCACATGAAGCTTCATGAACTGTGCGGATCATTGAAGCAATTCGCCCAAACGGTTCAATGCCTCATGAAGCTTCGTCTCATCATCACTAGTGATAACCCATAAAGTAGGTGGAGCACCGGGTTTTGTTGACACTGCCACGTAGCCTTTAAACATACACGTAACTATAGCTTTGCAAATTGGATTCATAAAACTCTTCTAAATTATAACTTCAAGAAGGTCAAAGGGGGGGATATGAGAAGCATTTATTCCTCTACATCCATGCACACAGAGTTAAACAGCAGGAAAACAGTTGGTTCAGAGTTAGCTTACCAGCGCAGGATTTGGAGCTCCATATCTTCATTAGCAGAATGAGAATAGCCACTAAATGCGACACGTCACCTGCCAGCCGAAATATATTCATAGTGTTCAACTTCAGAGAACTCCTCAAAGGCCTTAAAAACTCCTGCAAGCACTGACTTCTGAGTTTATGACCCAGAAAGGAGGGGAGCGAAGAAAAATAAGCCGAGATTATAAAAAGGGAAAAAACGAGCGGGTTGTTTAGCAGTTAACAGCAGGCGGACCCGTTGGCTTCTTTTTGTCCAAAGTGTGTAAACAGGTGAAATGTCAGCAGATTCCTGGATAGATTCAGGTTTGAGTGAGCAGTGATGGTCCTGGAGGTAAACCAAGAGAGGAGGTGACGTGGCTGTCAAGCTAGCCCGACTAGGATCTGACGGGGACGCTGCTTTCAAAATAAAACTCCATACGTCGGTTTGGGTAAAGATACTAGATAACCGGTATAAACAGGAATATTTTCAAGAAAGACAAAATTATATAAGTTTGTTATCCTTTTTTATAAGTTATTTGTAGAGTATATTCGTATTTTCTTTTTTGTCTCAGGCTCTTATTTTGAAAGTTTATATTTTATACTGATTTCCGGTGCCGGTTTTCTTAATGTCGTCGAACCTGACAATCTTGAAGAATTTTAACTTGTAAATCCTTTATTTAACAGCAGGTGGCGACAAACAAGCAGAAAGTGCGAGCACCCATTCAAAAGCTTTGCGAACTTTTCTTTTTGTTGTTATTGATTAAAAGTCAATAAAGTTTTTGTAATCTTTTTTTTTATGTGTTAAAATATTGGTGGAATATAAATCCAAAGGCTTGAAAAAGGATGTAAAACTTTAAATTAGGTTGCCAACTTGGTTTCTAAATAATTTATATTTGTTTAATCTAGTCCCTGAGATTTTACCAAATGACTTGATAATTTCTAATAATTTGGCTTTGGACTTTTCTATTTTTAAAAAAAACTAACAATGCAGTTTGAGTTCTTATGGTTATTGCTAATGGTTAAATAGCTTTAATAAACAGCAAAGCAGGTAAAGTGTCCCCTTAACTGGATACTTTTTTTTTTTACATTTTTATATTTGTTTTAGAAATATTACAATCAGTCTAAATTTGACTATGATAGAAATTTCCATTTGATAAAATATTCACCAAAACTACAACATTTAAAAACCTCAAACAGAAATAAATGCTCCACTCTGTAAATGTCCTTTCAGCATCTGATGACAGTAGAACCACTGTATCCATTTCCTGTTTTTTATTCGTCATATTTAGAAGTCTAACATTATGAAAACTTAACAATTATAATATCTTTAAGGATTCAATTTGCAAATATTTGAAACATTATTTGATTGAAAATACAAAAATATTTTATACCTCTCTTTAAGTTAGATTTGTTATCAAGTAATAAAAAAATAAATAAATGACCTTTAGGATCTTAGTTTGACTTCCTGTGTTTTTGTCCGCAGCAGTGATGTCCAGCTGTTGCCTCGGTTTGATTTGCCTCCTTGTGCTTTGCCTGTTTTTTTATTAACTTTTTTTTTTGTCTTTTTATTTATTTTTTTCCCATTTGCCTCCATTCTGTGTTTCTTCTTGTAAAACCTCGTTCTTAAATCAACCCTTGGATTGTTTGGTTTGCTGAACTGAAATCCAGGAACAGTTCCGCACGTGAGTGTTCTTCTCCTCCAGGTGGGGCAGGCTCAGGTAGAGAGCAGCAGAGATGGCGTCCTCAGTGGAGCGATTGCGTTGGTAGGCAAACAGGAATGGATCGAATGTTGGCGGCATATGATGGCCAACCAGCATCACCAAACCACAACCTGAGTCCACTTTGACATCCTGCTCAGTTAAATGCTGATGTGCTAAAAGATTTAATTATTTGTAAAACCAAAGCCAAATGCTCGACATTCCTCATTTTAGCAAAGAAAGTGCTTCTTGTACGAGTTGTCATAAAATACAGCTGTATTCTTGCAATATTAGGACTTTATCCTCGTAATTTTATGACTTTATGCTCACAATTTTATACTTTTATACAAATCTCCTGGCCCTAATACTCTGTCATATGTACACACCCATTCAGTTTCTGGAAAATCAGACAGTTTTTCCAGGGGATTCTTTTTTTTATTGTTATTTTATTTTAGTTTTTGATGCATAAAGGGATCCCACATCAAACAATGACTGAGTGTTTGCACCATAACACAGTGATTCCCAACTTGGGGTACACGTACCCCTAGTAGTCCGCCAGTGCATTGGAAGGGGTCCATGAAAATATTTTATTTCATAGGTTGTAAAATAAAATGGGGATCGATTTTTGTTTGTGATGACCCAATAGAAAAATTAAACAAGTTTTTATCAACCAAAAAGTACATTTTTCTTATATTTCTGAGTTAACCAAGACGAGGCAGAAAAATAGACTGGATGTAGAGAACAGCCTGGGATCGGCTGTTTTTCACACTGAGCTATCAGAGCTCTTTAAAGCAGCTCAAATAACTAATTAAGTCATTTGAACAATCATTTTTGTTCTGAATTTTGTTCCAAGTTCATCAAGTTTAAATGTGATTTTAGGGGAGTTACTCAGAGGAGCTCTTTTTAAAAAGACAGGGTTTTAGTATGATTTTATTTTGTGTTTTTTTCGATTGCCTGCTTCTAACTTCTAGGCAACATATTTATGTGGTTTTCTTATTTGAGATGGAACTGATAAAATATCTAATAATTAAATTTTCTGGTTAAAAAATGAAGTAAAATAGTTTTTATCTTATAATCACTTATTGTACCTTCCACTTTGGACAATCATTAGTACTTTTGACTGAGAGGGGGACTCATGGTACGACAAAATGCCTAAAGAGGTACACAAGTCAAAAAAGGTTGTGAAACCCTGCCTTAACAAACCAAATAGACTTAACTCAAAACAAGAAGTGTAATATTGGTTGCTCCATTATAGTTAAGGCTTTTTCTTCAATTAAAGTCTATGAAACATTTTGGCTTCACATGAGAGAAAACCACCTAGTAAGGAGGGGCCCAACTTCTCAACTTTAAATTAGCAATGACCAATTTTCATCAATATCTGTTGTGTATAATGCTGCTTCCTAAACTGCACCTTTGCTCTTTGACCAACAGAGTGCAGCAGAGAGGCATTTTAACTGATGACCCTTATATTAATCTTTAATAATAAGATGATGTCTTAACCTTCCTGTAAAGATCTGTATATATATATATATATATATA